CCACTTACTGAATCCCTGGGGTCCCTGCGTGGGACCATATTGAGCTGATTCAGAGCTGATCAGAGCTTAGGCTCACCCAGAGGTGCCTTGGAAGAAAGACCTGGTGCTCTCCTTCGGAAAGAGCAGCCCTGGAAAGGCCCGTGGAGCCCAGCTCGGCTCCGACACACAGGCGGTCCCCAGAGTCAGCATGGACCCATGGCGGCTGAACTGACGACAGACTCCTCACTGTTGATAACAGTTTTCCTGTGGATTTTCGGGTGCTTCCCAAGAATAGAACCCATACTTGCCAGTACAAATATGTTTTCCTCGCCTTGCTAACAACTCTATCTTGTCTGATTGTATTACTGGTACTGTGAGAATCAAGAGTAGAATTGGGGGGATGTTTACTTTGTCTCGTATTCATTTATCTTTGGGTTTTGCTTTCTTACCCAAGATAATCTTTCCTTTTTCTACAAACCTGTCCGTCTTTTCGGGACTGGTTTGGGGGTGGGGTGGTTTGTTCCCAAAGGCTGCTAAGAAGCCATAGCTGCATTTTCTCTGGGACTTGTAATATTGCTTTTCTAAAACTTTTAAATTCTTTTTGTGGTAGTGGAAGTATACATAACAACACACACCATGTAAACCATTTATTTCTTTTTCAATAAAAGCCTCTTAATTAGGCGAAGGTTTTACAGAGCGGATCATAATCTACACCCAAATTCAGACACATTCTGATTCAGCTCCTCCCTGATCATCCTCTCATACCATAGCTCATCAGACCTCCGCTCGGGCTTTCCGATGTCTACTTCTCCTTCTTTCCTGGCCCTCAGAACTCACCCTTAGGCAAATGCTGCCCTTTTGAACTGAAGTGGGTGAATTTTCGGAGGGAATGTGCATTCAGCTCCTGACGGAGAGGTAAGGGCCATAGTCTTGAGCACCTCGCCAGACTCTAATTTACACGTCACTCTGCTCTCCCGGCTGTGAGCGCTGGTCCTCATGTATCTGCCACTCTGCAGAGGACCGTCCAATGCGATGGATCCTTTTCCAAATCATTTCACCACCCTTAACAGAAACTCCAAAACCTGAGCCAAACTCTCCCTCGACCTTTCCTCCAACACCTGGTAGCCACGAATAATCTTTGTTTTCCATATTTGGTTATTTTCTCTATGTGAGACCATACAAAGCGTCCTTTATGACTGGCTTTATGATGCGTATGAGGCTCATCACCGGAGTGACTAGATCAGGCTTTCATTTCTCTTTCTGGCTGAGTCTATACCACATGGGATTGTCTAACTATACACACACTAAGTGTATTCGTTTCATGCAAAAACTTGGATGCATCTGGAATTTATTTTGTTATACGGAGTGGTATTCAGAGAGATGGTCAAAAGGTGTCAGCAGGAGGTAGGGGCTGGGAGAGTCTTTGCTCCCTGGTTAATTGTTGGTGTGTGTGTGTGGGGGGGCTGGGGGGGTGTTCCTTAGGGACGACCTGGCCCTGCTGCCCTTCCTGACCATGTGCATCAAGGAGAGTCTGCGGCTGCATCCTCCCGTCACGGTCATCTCTCGCTGCTGTACCCAGGACATAGAGCTTCCAGATGGCCGGGTCATCCCCAAAGGTGCCCACAATGGCCAGGGGGAGGTCCTGGGGAGGGAGGGGAGCCCAGCAGGTAGAGGTGACCTCCTGCTGACTGACGTTTCCTTTCACAGGTGTCATCTGCCTCATCAGCATCTTTGGAACCCATCACAACCCCTCTGTGTGGCCGGACCCTGAGGTACCCCTCCCTTGTCCTCCCTTA